CCAAAAAAAAATTTCAAGGCAGACTGAAAGGTGGAAGGTACTAATTAGCTTTTCCAAGTGTTGAAGCCAAAAGAGGCAGTTCGATGTTAAAGAGTATGGGAGTTGGGAAAACTTTCAAAGGTCACCTGCTATGTGTTATAAGTACATACCGCTGAAGTAGGGTGAGGTGCAGAGAGTGGTGAAGGTGACAATGCTGAAGTCCATCTGCATAACAGCCAGACGCTTTCCGCGCATGATGGTGATGCTAGGTGTCGTGTGATCCCCTTCATCGTCATCGATGACTGCGTCCAGAGAGTCGCGACGGTTTCCACCGGAGAAGATAATCATGGACTCCCTGTGAACACGCACACAAACAAGGAGTATTAAGAAAAGTAGTCATATTTAGGGCCAAACTCTAGCTAAAAAAATATTTACTTCGTGCTATAAAACAGAACGTTACGTCAAAATATTCCTCAATAGTTCAATGAAGCATTTACTAACCAACCAGAGATAATATGGTCTCAGGCAAAACGGATATAATGTCGTACCATTTTTCCAGAAGATATGTCGAACATAATCGATCTGTATTTCTCATGTATGCCCTATTTCGTGCAGTTCCAAAAAGAAAGTTATCTCAGGCTGCGCATTTTAGAAGCTAAACACTACTGTCAATAAATTAAGATTAGGTTTTCAATTAAATTCTCACTCATGGCTACCGAAATTGCGCCAAAAATGTAAAACAGGGCTTATCAGTAATGGACACAATTAAGCTCATAATGAGCAAATTATTCCCCATAAAAAATTTGAAAAGCATAACTACTCGGACGGAAGTTTACATAATAATAATAGGCATTTCACTTGAAAAACAGTCCTATTATCCCAAAGTTTGCTACTTCTTCGGAATATTAGCAACAGAAAGGCAACTTGATTGGGTGATAGTTTGATAAGTGGACGCTTTACTAGATAAGATAATCAAAGCTTGAATATATGTGGTTTCCATCTTCGAATTATAACCACGTACAAGCGGGCTCATCCAACGATCCAACGAATATTTTTTCATTACTCTATAAAGGTTATCGATCCGCAAATTAAAAAAACTTTCAGCATTTGGAGTCCATGCAGGAGTACAAAGTGGGTGCACCGTAATCACCACATTATCCGGCCAGTTTAACATTGAAGTTGATTTAGCTCCATGATGGCGTGTAATTTTACTTTGCGTAGGTCTAGCAAAAGTCAAATCTTCATTATTCTTGAGAGGTGAGGAAATTTTACTGTAAACTAATCAACTTGATCCCTAAGCCGGGAGGCAAATAGGAGAATGCCGACGATGGCTCATCCCTCCCAAAGGTGGGAAACTTTCAAACATATGAACTCATAAATCTGTTAGCACCTAGGAGTAGTGGTTAAGACAGCAGTATTAACTAAAGTGAAATCTACTCATAGACCGTTCCCAATGTTCCGG